TAAATATTTCTTATAGGGAAAAAATTCGGTCAGCTTGAAGAATACACATGGTCGAGACCAAGTCTATAATTATAAGTGAACGTGGTGTACTCCATTTTCACTACTTATCGAGGAAGATATTTTACTCAACTACTAGCTTTCCAATTACACCCATGTTCAACTGAAACTTTCTCTGCTGAAATACAACCATGGCTACAACAATTCCAGTGGCAAGAGGCGCTGTTTATGGTCGCTTACCTCTCATTCATCGCTCTCAGGTCGATATCCTCTTTACTAATCGTCTATGCGTTATCGCAAAGAAAAAATGAATGTGATTTTGTCTCTGACTGAGTATATGTAACGTAATCAACTATCACAGTTGCCTATTTCTACTGTGAGCACACCGACACGGAAGCTCAACTTGAAATATGGCACCACTAAGTTTTCCCTCTTTGCCAGATATTCACAGTCGCAGGACCTTTTCACCAGCCGTCTTCAAGGTAAATATAATAATAACAATAATATGTATATGCTTATATACAGCGTAATTGTATAACTGGCGTAATTATTTGATTTTTTGGGAGCCTGTAGTGGTATTAGTGAGATGTCTTTGCTTGTTTTGGGAAAAAAAAAAGGCTTTTCTTTATTTTTAGGGTTGCTTAGAAATATTTTGCCTGGAGTTTTAAACTCAATTACCGAAAACTAGTTTTGTTTCAGAATTATGAATACCCCCATTGACATTTGATTCCAAATTGGATTTCCTGTTCCTGATACTTTGGCTATTTGATGGAAAGGCGAGATGGACTCTCTTCTTGATTTGAATATTAATATTTAATAGATGAGAACATGGTGCTTTTGTCATATTCATGAGGACTTTTGAGCTGATTACAACACTGCATAGCTTTCTTGTTTTCATGCGTATAGACTGCAGTATGGTGCCAAAAGTGTCTGAGGGTGCATTTTTCAATTTAGCTGTTTCAGAATGTTGATTAATGTATTTACTGAATATTTAAACTTAATCGTGGTGTCGCATATTGCTGCAGATAGTATTCAGAACTTGCCCAGTCTTTTGGAGGATATTGTTCAGACATCTATAAAAACTGGTCCTCGTGGAGCACTAAGACTGGCTCAAGGCATCCAAGCAGTTGTAGGTGTTGGTAGCGAGTGGTTGGCTGATGCTTCTAAGGTAGTGATATTATTTTTCATGGGAAATAAAGGAATTTATGCGTTTCATTGTATCTTTTTGCCATCTTATTTGGAGTCTTATCCTATCTGAACCCTTTCCTTGTAAGGACCTAAAGCCACCTAACTCATCTATGTTATTGGTTTTCGATTTTGAGTGGGAATATCTTATAGCATTTTGGTTATTTTTAATGGGAATATCTAATTCTGAAGTCGCCTGACTCATCTATGCTACCTGAACCTTTTCCTTGTGAGGACCTGAAATCACCTGATTCGCTGTTCACACGTTACCTATGGGCATCCTTAGCTTATCAACTAAGTAGGAGCTCACATTCATCTTTCTAGTCTTGAAATTGAAAAGTACTTAAGCTTTAGTTGATTTTACAATTTGTTTACTTTCTCTTTATCATGACCTGAATTCTGATGCTCTTTAACCTTTTAGGCTGCAAGTTCATCTGGTGGATTTGCTGCTGACTTGCAGCTTGGATTACTGTCACCTGTTTACTTAAGGAAGTTATTCGAACGCATGGGGGCCACATACATCAAATTAGGTCAGGTTAGTGAAGATATATAGGGTAACATTTTCCTTTGTGGGTGTCTCTTGAGGATCCTGCTATCTTTTCCAAAGAAAATGATATCAAAGTTCTCTCCAAACGGATAGAGCCAATTGGCTATCACTCTCTAACAAAGTGACAAGCTAACAAATAAAAAGTCCTACATCATTTTTCCTCCATCTCTCTCCCTCTGTTTTTCATGCTCATACACGAGAGATCAGCTCGCTTATGCTATCTATAATTTGTATATTCAGTTCATAGCATCTGCACCGACATTATTTCCTCAAGAGTATGTTGAGGAGTTTCAGTACTGTTTCGACAGAGCTCCTTCGGTTCCATTCGAAGAGATTCAAGAAATCTTAGGTAAGGAGTTACGCCAGCCCATTGACTCTGTGTTTGAGTATGTGGAACCAACACCTATAGCCTCTGCTTCCATAGCACAGGTTTGTACTTTTTTATTTTATTTCCCTTGCATGTGTGTGTGTGTTCTCTTTTTCTGGTTCCTTTTCACCCCAATTGTGTACTACGGTATACTAAACAGTTACTTATATTGAGTGTAGAAAATGTCTGCAACAATTAAACTGCATGTCTTGGTTTTCAGGTACATGGCGCTAGATTGAGGGGCAGTCAAGAGGATGTAGTTATTAAGGTGCTAAAACCCGGTATAGAAGATATACTTGTGGCAGACTTGAACTTTGTGTATATTGTTGCACGCATCTTGGAATTCTTGAGTCCTGACCTAAGCCGAACATCTCTGGTAAAGTGTGGGCCATTGCAATAAATAGCTCTGCATGTTTGCCTTCTAAACAAACATAATTCCATATTGCAGTGATACAACTGATGAGCTCAGTAACCTTCTCAATGATAATTGCAGTAAATAGAATTTATTAGGATGTGTTTAGCCTAATTTCTCTTCAACGTAATTCCATATTTTGCTGGCAACTTGCTCATCGCATGTTCTGTTTTTTTTGTTTTTCGTTTTGTTTTTTTTTT